AATTTAATATAAGAAGTGTCCCGGTCTATGAAGTTTACTTTAAAATGCTTTGAAAAATACATTGATTATGGGATAAAACAAATACAACAATATGTTCATTGTGGAATGTAGGTGGTTCACTCTATACTTCAACCTGAAAAGGAAAATGGTGGAGGGGCCCAAGGTGAATACGGACGGTCACCTTAGCTCCCAGGTGGCAGCCCGAGAGGGTGTCCGTGGAGGAAGTTCTGCGGGTTCTTGGTTGAGCTGGACCCTCAACACCTCAGCAAGCTTCCCATACTGCAGACTGGGCACCAGGGATGATAGATGTGGGGTCTCTGGGGCCCAGAGAACAGACAGATCGGTTGTTTCATAGTGTGTACAGAGGATGGGGGGAGAGGAGTGATCTGCGTAAGACTCTAAGGCTCATGAATAATTTAGGAAGGAAGGCAAACACAGTTGTGTACACAAAGATGAGGAGAAGTGGGTGGCTCAGGGTCAAAGGCAACTGGAAGGCAAGAAAACAATCTATTTCTGGAGTGACTGAGTTTGTGATGGAGGTTTATGCTTGCAACATAATATTGAAGCCCACCATGAAGTTGTTTGCCCCTTCCTCTTTATCCACCCAGATTTAAAATACTCCAGTTCCTTCCTCAGAGGACTTTGTATAGCTTCTCTGTTTTCCTGCAGACATAAAAATCTGACTAAAATTACTTAACAGAGATTTGGTTACTACTGAAGAATACTGGAGAGGGCAGAGAGGATGACCCCTTGGCTGGGTACAATCACGCTATTGCATTTTGGATTTGTTTGGATTTTTCTCGCCCAACTTGACATCCTCTGTGCTTCCAAATCAGCTTCTCGCCACTGAAGCAAACCTGGGTTTTCCTTCTGTTGGGCTTGGATTTGTCGGCCCCTCTCATACTGCATCATGCCTTTAAAGTCATCATGGATTCTTCTCCGGTCTTGGAGGGTATCAGCCACCATCTTAAGACTTCATGAGCATATATAAATATTAAACACTTAGAAACCCAGAGCTGGCCCCCAGAGGAACTCACACCATCATCTGGGTAAAAACCCTTAGGAACTGGTGTATCTTTTGAACCATTCATGACAATCATGGCCCATCAGGAGGGTTCTGAGGTGGCTTTGGTGCTCTCAGTAATGTCACAGAGTAGGCTGTGATGAAGAAAACAGGAAGAGGGAGAAAAAAGCAATGAGAAAGGAGAGAAAGTGAACAAGAAAAAATGTGCTGAGGTATAGCAGTGATGGAGAGCAACAAGACTGTGAAGAGCACTGGGAGCCACCAACTGGACATTTCCCCTTCTACAGAGCACATGCCCTGGTTTGTTGTTGAGACTGTCATATAGGGACAGAAGCGGAAGCCACTTCAAAGCACAAAGTGGTATTGGTCATATCCCCCGTCTACATAGTATGTCAGTTTTTTTTTTTTTGAGAAATACATAAAAAGTTTATTAGATATGATCATATAGGGTTTAAGTAATGCAAGGTAGACTTAACAACTAAAAATAATCAGTACAATTAACCATGTAACAGAATAAAAAGAAAAATAATATGATAATTTCAATAGATGGAGAAAATAATTTGTAAAATTCAACATCTATTTATGTTTTTAAAAAATGCTTAGGAAAATGGGTATGGAAGGAAAACTTTTTTTTTTTTTAAGATTTTATTTATTTGACAGCGCGAGAGAGCACAAGCAGGGGGAGCAGCAGAGGGAGAGGAAGAAGCAGGCGCTCTGCTGAGCTGGGAGCCCGATGCGGGGCTCCACCCCAGGATCCCAGGATCATGACCCGAGCCAAAGGCAGACACTTAATCATCTGCACCACCCAGGCACCCCTGTATGTTAGTTTACTAAAGGAAGAATTAAATGGGCATGATGTCTTAAAAAGTAGGACCAGTAGGAATTCAGGGTTGTTGATGGTCTGGGGTCTGAGGCAGGGTAAGCAGCTTGCTTTTCTCCCCATGAAGGGCACTGGTTATATACCACTCCACATGACTGGTCATCATTTGACCTTCTTGTCTCCAATTGGATCCCATCTGTTGCTCTGCATCTGTGCATGTGACTTTGACAGATTCACCTGTAGTGAGTGATATGGTCAAGGGCATCCATGTTACGCTGACAGAAGAGGGTGCTAGAGACAGAAGAGGGTGGTAGAATGGAAGATACAGTCTGTGGAGGGTGGGTGGGCATGGCAAAGTTGGGGAGGCAGGAAAGGCTCTAGTGAGAATGGGAAAAGCCCCAGTGGGCAATGGATGACTTTGAGTTGGAATGGAAGACCTGTTGGGAGAGAAGGGGAACAGGAAGGTGCCATTCTTCAGGGCACCCATTTTCCCAATCTATCCAAGTCCCTGGCTTTCAAATTCTGCTCTGAGTTTCTTATTCCCACTTCAGTTAACCATTTTGTAAATGGTGGATCCACAGCAGATTCTTTAAAAGAAGTAATCTGGGGCACCTGGGTGGCTCAGTTGGTTAAGTGTCTGCCTTTGGCTCAGGTCATGATCCCAGGGTCCTGGGATCGAGTCCTGTGTCAGGCTCCCTGCTCAGCAGGGGAGTCTGCTTCTCCCTCTGCCTCTCCCCCAGCCTGTGCTCTCTCTTAAATAAAATCTTTAAAAAATAAGTCATCTATTGTGGAGTTAAAAAAAATCCATGGTCCTAGCTAATGGTAAGCACACAAATCACTTGACAGTATTCTGGGGTTTTTGTCTTCCATGACGGCATCAGCCCAGATGCTAACAGGACCTCCTGCTCTGAGTAGCTTCATGGAGGGCAGTCTGCCTCCAAAGCTATTGTTGGTCAACAAAGCCAACATTGAACTTAGATTTGCACATCTATGTAATTATGAGTAAGCCATTTATTTGCTTTTCTCAACACTCTTTTCCTAATCCCAAACTCAGAGGGGCATATACAGAAAGGAAAGCAAAACATTTTGTAAAAGAATTTGGTGGCTAAGTGGTCATTATCTTCTGATTGAATGGTGCTTGCTTACCACCAATCATTGGAGTTCGGATCCTGGTATATACGATTATCACTCAGCTTCCTTCAGTTTTTTACTTTGGTTTTCGCTTTTTTTTTTTTTTTTAGATGTATTTGAGAGATACAGAAATATAGAGAGCACAAGCAGGGAGGAGAGCGAGAAGCAGGCTCCCCACTAAGCAGGGAGCCCGATGCAGGGCTTGATCCAGGACCCCAGGATCATGACCTGAGCCGAAGGCAGACACTTAACCGACTGAGCCACCCAGGCGCCCCTGATTTTTTTTTTAAATAATCTATGCCCATACTGGGACTCGAACTCACAATCCCGAAATCAAGAGTCGCATGTTCTATGTACTGGTGCCTGTTTTTTTTTACTCCTTGAAACATGATCAGGATGCAAATTCTTCTTCAGTAATAATGTTACACACACTGTAGCTGCCTCTGAATATTTTGTGCACAGAGAAGAAAAGCATTGTCTTAGCTTCCAAATGGTACTCGGATCTTTTAAAAGCCTGATCTAAAGGAACTTTGGGATTCTCACTCTAACCTAAAGTTCCAGGCTCCCGGCCCACATGGGGCTGTCTCACCCCCAGCCTTTCCCCACCTGAGCTTCATCTGACTTGTGTGCACTCTTTAACACCCACCAGACTGGTTAACCCTTGGAGTGCTTTCATCCAGGTCACTGCCTCAGGACTCAGCTCCAGTATCACCTCCCCGCAGGACTCCTGCTGTCACATCCACACCAGTTGAGCTCAGTTTCTGCCCCATGAGCTTGCTCACTCCAAATACACGGTGCTTACACCCTTTCCAAAGACAAGGGCTGTCCTGCCTTCCAGCACCTGGCAGCTTGGCAGGTGCCCTAGAAACACTGCCCCGAGAAACAAGACCACACTAATGACAGTGTATTTGGGACCAGTGACTATTTACCTTGTGACTGGTTACTGTCATTCCTCTCTGATCCGTGAAAACAGTTTTTGCCTCTGTGCACTGTTCTACCGAGCTGGATTGAAGCGCTGCAAGCAATACAAGGCATTTTTACCCTGTCATTTCGACTTCAGGACAATGCTCTTCAAGTTGCAAACATTTTAGAGCCAACATTTTAATCGGAATATGCCAACGCTATGAGGAAGGGAGATGGTGAAGTAGGAGCATGTAGATATTGAAGCCAACCTGTAGACCACCTGCTTTCCTCCTCATCCCAGAAATGCATCCACCATGAGGCTGCAGCAGGAGCTAGAGGGCGGGAGGTCTTCCTTAGGAAAAGCACTTTATTCCCTGCACTGAAGCTGACCGGACTAGAGGAAGCGGGGCCCCTGATGAAGACAAGACCAGACTCTATAGGGTTGGTAACAGCGAGGAGGGGGCAGAGGCTTTAAGGAGCGGGAGTTACTCCTCAGAGTGTGGAGGAGGTACTTGGGTGAAGGACCCCACCAAGACAGGTGCTGGTAACTTCCCTAGGATGGGCAGATGCCCTAGCTACACCTCAGGTCTGTCATGCATGAGCACCAGCTGTGCCAACAGCCTCCATGGTACCACTGCAGGGGTGGGAGGGTATCACACCTAGCCTTTAGGCCTGACTCCTTTCAGTCCATGGGCAGCTCTCGTACATCTGTGACCCACCACTACACTCTACTTTGCTCAATATTCCTAGTGTGCACAGTACCCAGGGCTTGCTTCCTGGGATGACCATTGGCCACCCTGGGGAACCACAGCCCACCTGCTCCATGCTCATGATGGCCAAGAAAATTGTTCTCGGCCCTCCTAGTCCATTTTGCATATCCATTAGTGATTCCACACTCCCCTGAGACACTGAGAGCAAAGGTGGAGGGCGTGGGTCAAAGATCTGAGCACGCACGGGGGCATGAATTTGTTGATGCAACACTTCAGAGATGTTGGTATAGGAGGGTAGCATGTGTCCATGATTGTCAGCAAGGTGGTGAGAAAAAACTGATAAGGGAAAGAGATCAAGCTTCTGTGGTAGCAACCTGGACCTTGAGTGGTGGTAAGAGCACAATTACTTGCATGTCGTGTAGGATTTTATTAATTTCAAGTTTTACTAAGCTTGGCATTTTATCACACACCATGGTGGCATGCATCACCTTTCTTGAAGCCAGGCTCATTCAGCTCATTTCTAGAATATTTTAATCAGGCCTTAAAGTACATGGATGTTAGTCCTATGGCATACAGGTAATAACCTGACATCAATTTTTCTTTTTAAGATTTGGGAACCTTTGGGCATGTGTTTTGAGTATGGAGAAGTGAGAAGCAGCAGTAAGAGAACTTTTTTCCTTTGCTGGCAGAAAAGGGCCAAGAGACACAGGCCATAACCACAGGCAAAAAGTTAGAGAAACTTGTTATTAAATTTAATTTTCTTTAAATACATACCTTTGTCCCACCCCTCACCTACTCCAGGTGGGGGAGAGAAAACCCCACCCCCTCCATTCAGGGGTTCCATGTATAAAGCCTGAGATGGTGAGGATGAAGTATAAAAATACTATTTACAAAGGGGAAGAAGGTATCTGCTGCTACCTTAATTAACCTTCAGACAGACACCCCCATCCCCAGGCCCCTTTTGCTCCTTTAGAAAAAGCCCCTGGGAATTCATTTGAGTGTAGAACAAGCCCTTCCTCTCGAGGGGCACCCAAACCCCAACACGGCATAGGAAGCTCTGAGATTAACCGAGGAAGAGAGTGAACGGATAGCACCACAGATCCTAGCAGGGGGAAGGCCTTTGCCCTCCAGTACCCTGTAGTCAGCAGGCCTGCCCACCAGCCTTTATTTCCACAGGCCCCATGTAAACATTGACTTTCCTTTTTTCTGTGTCCCCTGCTCTTCCTGACTTCCTACAGAGCCTCTCTCACTTCCAGTGGAGGCACTTGGTTCCTTGATGGTTCCTTGATCATTCCTTCCTCCCCTTCTCACCTTCCTAGGCAAGGAGTGAAGAGGGGAGGGAGGTGACAGGTGGGGCAGGGCCCATCTTAACCCTTCTTCGAGGTCAGGGCAGCCTGTCCTCCTAAGGGGAACCCTCAGGGGGTGAACTCCAAGCGCTCAGCCAGATAAGGGTGGATGGCTTTCCCCAGCAGGGACAGGCAGGCAGACAATCCAGTATCAGGATACAGTGTTCTTTATGGGGGACGCCATTAGTTCTGAGTAGCAGGGAAGGCGGCTTCAGGGGGCAGAGAGGTGGGGCGATGCTGGTCTCACCCTGATGCTGGGAGACCAGCCCTGCATCCCTGCCCCTTCAGGTAAGCATGTCAATCACCACCCAACAGTCCTTGTTCACTGTAGCTGTGCAGAGGGATCAGGCACCCGTGAGGCAGGAGGTCTTTTCCAGGTCTTGGCACAGAAGCAGCATTCACACCAGCTCATCCAACAGGATCCCGATGCTCTGAGTGGCCTCCGAGGGCCCAGCAATGGGCTTGTTACACATAGGGCAGACACAGCGTACTTCTAGCCACTTTACCAGACACCTGTGGGCAGAAGAAGCCAGCCAGCCTGTTCCGTCTGTCTCCTGGAGCCCAGCGGCTTCTCAGGACATCTCCGTCCTTGCCCCAGTCCAACCCCTCTGGCTTGCCTGGTGTCCAGACAGGATGTAAGGCCTCACTGGCAAGGGGGAGACGGGAGGGGGCAGGGATTACAGGTTCTACAAGATGCTCCCTGCTTATTTGCTTTCAAAAGGCATCCCTGGGCAGCACATTCCCCGCAGTGGACACTTACTTCCGGTGAAAGGCATGTTGGCATGGGAGCACACCCAGCTCGTCCTTCCCCTTGAAGTCTTCCAGACAGACTGCGCAGGTCTGCTGTGGGAAGAAGGGGGTGGTGTGAGAGGAGGCCGGGCAGGAACCACACGCACCCATCAGCTCATCCCCACCCAAGTAAGCTAAGCCATGGCCCCGTTTCCTCATCAGCCACCGACACTTGAGTCAGAGGGTAGCCATTAACCACAGGATGTTTCCACTGACCAAAAGAAGGTGAAATTAAAAGTTTAGTTCCTCAGTTGCTCCAGCTACATTTCGAGGGCTTCCCATACTGGGCTGTGCAGATATCGGACGTTTCCATCTTCACAGAAAGCTTCATTGACCAGTACTGTTCTAGAAGAGTATTTTTTAATCCCTTCTCTCGCCTGGTACATTTGGCAAGGGGGCATGTATCAATAACTAGAGGTTAAGGATGGGGATATGGTGTTCAGTTAATATTCTTTAAATCCAGCTCTTTGTCATTGTATTATTAACCCCTGATAGCTGAACTCTTCCTCTCAAGGAGGGCTCAGGGAACACCCAGGCATGTGCTGAAATGCAGTAGCATCAAAAAGAGGGACAAGGGGCGCCTGGGTGGCTCAGTCAGTTAAGTGTCTGCCTTTGACTCAGGTCATGATCCCGGGGTCCTGGGATGGAGCCCCGTGTTGGGCTTCCTGCTCAGCCGGGAGTCTGCTTGTCCCCCTGCCCTTCCCCTCCACTCATGCTCTTTCGCAAATGAGTAAAATCTAAAAAGGAGAGGATGAAATGAGGCATTCCTAGGCTGTCTCGTGTCTAGCAATACCAGACAACCACAAACCCCCTGTGCACAAGTGTTTGGGGTTATGGATGGATGCCTCGAGAAGGTCAGATGATCTCATGAGCGCAAGTAGGACAGGAAGAGGAAAACGGCCTCCTGAAAAGGCCATGTGTGGAGACCCAAGGACTTGCTATACTGGTTGGGGGGAAACAGGGAAGCACTGCGGGGATGGCTACACGGGTCAGATCCGCAGCTGGCTAGGACAGGGCGCATGTATGGGGGTAAAAGCAAGGACGGCTGGACTCTGTGGCATGGAGTGGTGTGCCCATCCTCCCCTTCAACATTACGCAGAGCAGCCTTCCTGGGGCCACGTGGCCCCGCTTATTCAAACCCTTCTGTGATCCCTTTAGGTTCTCTGCCTGCGCTGACATCATGCATCCCATGTATGGATTACCTGCTGGGATGAGTCCATTTGGCCCAAGGAGACGAAGACAGGGTCTAAAGTTCCTGAAAGGGCAACCCCTTCGGGTACCCTCCCTCCCTGGGAGCTCTGTATTATCACTCTGCTATCACTCAATAAACCTTGGCTTTGCTGCCCACCAAAAAACAAAACAAAATAATAAGTTCCTGAAAGGCCCAGACTGAGAGCTGGATGGAGAAGGTGCCATTTGCCTTGCCGGCCGGGGCCCTTCCTACATGCTGTCCCAGTGCACTTACCCCATATAATTGCAACTTCTTGGCATCTCCTTTAAGTACCACCTGGGAAGACAGAGAGGAGGCATGGTGTCAGAAGCCTACCACAGGGCCAGGTGCTCTCAACAAAGAAGGGAGTGGCCAGCCCTGCAAGGAGGGTCTTCTCCCTCTGGAGGGGGAGGGCTCTGGGCACTGCCTGGGACAAGCCAGACATGAGGACTGTAACAAAGCGTCAGCTTCCAAGGGAGCCAGAAGAGAGGCCAAGGGGGTTCCAGGCCAGCACTGCACCAGCTTGCCTGCATCCTGCCCGCTCCCTAGCAGGGCAAGGAGTAGGACAGAAGTCTCAGGGAAAGACGCAGCACTTTACCTCCTTATAGCCATATCGTTCACTCTGTGCCTGGTTCCGGAGTTTGCTGGGGGAGAAAGAGAAAGGGGAGAGAAGAGGTTAGTTATTATTATGCCTTGCTACAAACAGAGCCATTCCGAGTAAGAGAGGCAGGCGGGTTGCCGGGGCAATTCTTCTGGGGCCGGGGAGGCTGCTCGCCACAGGGCTGTCTCATCCCAGAGATGCCACGGAGTGTGGTTTGGACCCATGCAGGTCACCCAGAGTGGATTAAAGACTCAGGCTTTTTCTTGGGCCCAGCAGCCTCAAAACTTCCTGGCAGGTCCCACAGATGGGGGAATTCCGGCCGAGCACATTCTAGCAGAATGGTTCATTCCTACTGCCTGTGGTTTCCCGGTACCTCATTTTCTTCAGGCTCCCCAACTCTACGGATCAACAAGCTGCTTACTGAGTCTACAGGAGTTAGATAGTCTTAAAAGGAATATTGCCGTTAAGCCAGGGCGGCAGGATAAATAAGTCTCTGTTGACCCTGGGGAATTTTCCTCCTGGAGAACTCAAGTATTCTGGAACCAAAGCATACTCTCCCCTTCACAGCACCAGACAAACACAGATGATCCCTCCTTTGCCTTCTTTCTTCCCCTCCAGTTTCGAGCTGGTGGCCTACATACAACCTAACTCTCAACAGCCAAAACACAGCACGTTGTTATTAATGGCAAGAACACCGTAGTTATGGAGGCCTTGCTGTGCGTCCATCCCTGTGTTAACATACGCATGTACTTTGAGAGCTTTCCTTTTTACAGAGGAGAACCGAAGTCCAGAGAAGTTAAATAACTTGCCCAAACCTCACAGCTAGTTGGCAGCATAGGCGGGTTTGAATCAAAGTCTACCAGACCATAGAGCCTGAGCTCTTCAACACATACTGCGGCCTGTTTCCCATTACGTGGAACACATCATTGTCCTGAGAACGATACCAGACCACTTGGGAAACATCCGTTCATTAGCAGGGCTACAACTAATGGCTGGGACCATGATTACGTATTATTATTATTGCTGTTTTATTTGCAGTGAAAGAAACCTTCCAAATTAAGCAGGTAGCTCTATGTCCTTCTGTACTTGGGAGCCATGGGGCTTCCTCTGAACTGATCACTCCTACCCCAGATTTGCGTTATTGGAAGGAAACATCAAGTTATAATCGGTGTGGCAGACTATGGCCTAAGGGCCAAAGCCAGCTGAACACTTGTTTTATAGGGCCTGGGAGCTAAAACTGATGTTTATTCTTAAGTGGTGGAAAGTAGAAATCAAAAGAATGTCTTTTTTTAAAGATTTTATTTATTTGACAGAGAAAAGACACAGCAAGAGAGGGAACACAAGCAGGGGGAGTGGGAGAGAGAGAAGCAGGCTTCCCGCTGAGCAGGGAGCCTGATGCGGGGCCTGATCCCAGGATGCTGGGATCATGACCTGAGCTGAAGGTAGATGCCCACTGACTGAGCCACCCAGGGGCCCCAGAATATTTTATGTCTTGTGAAACCTGTATGAAGCTTAAATTTCAGTGTCCACAGATTTTTATTTGAGCACAGCTATGCTCATTATCTCCCTACTGTCTACGGCTGCTTCTGCCCAGTAGAGTGGGGTCATTAAGAGATTGGAAGACTTCCGAAGCCCCTCTATTTGTCCTTTTGCAAAATAAGAGTGCTGATCTGAGTTAGAGATCTCAAATCACGAGCCTCAACCAAAAGGAGTGAGAGAAGATGCTCGCTCCATGGACACTGTGGAGAAGGCGAATTGCAGCCCAAGCCGGGGAAGGTGCAGCATGCGGGGCAGAGCAGAGCCGTGCCCAAATCCCAGTCACGGAGCAGATCCAGATCAGGCTGCCACCTACCTCCGCTGTTCCTAACAGAAGTCAGGGGCCCTGGCGAGCCTGTGTACCTGGAACCTCTTAAGATCTCCAGTCTAGGGGTGCCTGGGTGGCTCAGTCAGTTGAGCACCCGACTCTTGGTTTCGGCTCAGGTCATGATCTCAGGGTGGTGAGACTGAACCCCATGTCAGGCTCCCTGCTCAGCATGAAGTCTGCTTGGGATTCTTTTGCCCTCCCTCCCTCCCCCTGCACTCTCCCCTCTCTCAAAATAAATCTTAAAAAAAAAAAAAAAAAAAGAACTCCTGTCCAAGGGTGCCCAGTGAGTGGAAAATGTGACTTTTGATCTCAGGGTTGTGAGTTTGAGCCCCAAGTCAGGTGTAGAGGTTACTTAAAAATAAAATCTTAAAAAAACAAACAAAAAAACAAAGGCACTCTAGTCCAGGTGGAGTCCCGCCCCATGGAGCTAAGGCCCAGGGTAACACATCCACTGGAGAGTTTCTGGTCACTGGAGGGTTGGACCAAAGGCTTAACCAGGACTCCCACTGTCCCAACCTTAACTTTGCAGGGAACTCCTTAGTCCAGAAAAGCCCTTCACAGGCAGGCCTCTCCGTCCCCACCTCCAAACAAGAGGGGCAGACATGGATGCATCCAAAGCCTAAAGGAGCAACTGTTACCTGGCTGACACTGAATGAAGCTGGGGACAGAAGAAAGTGTTCTCATGATCAAAGGGCTCACAGCTGCCTTCTGAGGGAGACAGTGTTGCTGTCAACCGCTATGGAGGAGAGCAAATAAGGAAGTGGTGAGGAGCCTGCCTCTTAACTCCAAGAACGAGGGGACGCCTCACATCCTTGGTGTCTCCACTGCCTCACCTCCTACATGGCTCTGAGCACAGTGTGTCGTGCCTCTCTGCTTGTTTCATGGGATGTGCGGGCTACCCCCTCCCCACCCTCAGCCCTTCTGTCTGGCTGGCTCCACTTAGGGGTCACAGTCAACGACCAGCCAGTAGCTGGGGGCCCCGGAGCCCAGCGCCACCAGAACACTGAAAGCCTTCACCCTGCGTGTAGATTTCTGGAAGAGGAAGGTGTACATTGTGAGGAGAGGGGGCTGAGAAAGGCTGCAAGGGAAACAAAGCAAAAGGCAAACCCCCTGGGCCATCCAGCAGAGGCTGTGGTGCCAGCAACTGAGGACAGGTGGCCTTCTCAGCTGTCGGGTGAGAAAAGCTACTAAAAATAATCGGATTTCAATGAGACCATTTCTCGCCACTGCCAGTGGGCTCTCCCTGGCTTCTTTTCCCTTTTGGAACAAACAATGCAGCCAGGTCCTGAAAAGAATTGTTCCTTTCCTGCCTATTTGTACTTCACTGGCCCCTCCATCCTGTGTAGGCCACAGGTCAGCTCTTGGGGACCGAGGAAGGAGTGAGGGGGAGTTGGGAGAGTGGAGGCTGGTGTGGGCCAATGAGCTCGCCAGGTGGAGAGCAGGGGTCATGGGCCTATTTTGGCAGTGGAGGAAACTGAGAAGCAGGGAGAGGAAGTGGCTTCTGTGCTTGTGTGTGTCTTTCTATATATAGACACCCCAGGCTGCCACACAGCAGTGAGCCTCTGGAACCATGAAACTCCGGGGTCAGCTGGCTTTGGGCAGGCTGCAGAACAGAAGGTGGGGTGACAGAAGGGACAGGTGGTGCCAAGCGGCCCGCAGTCAGGAAAGCTTTTGGTTTTTGCTCTCTCACTCCAGCCAGCCAAAAATAAGTCAGCCAGGCCTAGCTCCCCAGCCTGTCCTCCTGGGGGACCCCGATCTCTAGCCGTAAGGGGGTGCTGAGGGACCTTCCACAGCTGCCCCTTCCCTTCCCATTCAAGGAGTAAGAATCAGAGAAGGCAACTGTATGGAATCTGAAAGACTCTAGCTCATGACCACCAGGCTAGCCCACGTCTGGATCTTCCTTGACATTAGGACCTTGGGCAAACCCGTAACTGCCTGAGCATGAATTTCCTCATTTACAAAGTGGGCTGTTGGGGGGCGGGGGTGTGTGTGTGTGTCCCAAAACGCCAACCATAATGTGGCACACAGCAGGTGCTTGGTAAACAGTAGCAAAAAGGCAAGGTCACACCTATCCTATTAGTGGCAGAATTAGGAAATGAACCCTGGTCACCCACTTCCTGGCCCAGGGCCATTTTCTAGATTTTTCTTCACTCGACGCCCCCCTTTGCAGCGTGGGTGTGTACCAGACAGAGCTGCTTCTGCAGACTCCTCCCCCAGCATCATACATAAACCTTTGGTATTTGGTATGTGTCCATCTTCAGTCTCTGGGGAACTGCATGAACTGCTTGGTGTGGGGAGACGGGGGTGGCTGGTGGTCAGGAAGCCAGAAAGTTTGAGGAAGAAAACACAGGCTTGGGGAAAGAGAAATGGGGGACGGAGAGCTACTAGAAGAATTGCCCTCATTCCCACTTATGCAAATTTTGGACTCAATTGTAAAAGAGGGAAAGTAAACCACTATCTTCTCTGCATAAACTTGTAAGTGGAAAACTCCAGTTCCAGGAACTTTAAGTTCTGAGAAAGAAGAGGCCTAAAGTAGCTGGCTGGCGGCACTCAGGGCACTTCCCCTTTTTTAGAGGAAGCTCTTCTAGCTTCAGGAATACAGACGGAAGAGTGTCTGCCTTCCCCCCAGCCTCCCTCCAGGTGAAGCACTCAGACCCACCACGACTTCGCAGTAGGGAGCCAGAACTCCTTCTTTCCTTCAACTTAAATGATCTGGCAAGACTCCAGCTGAGAGCTACTCAGGCATTTGGTCAAGTGTGTGTGTGTGTGTGTGTGTGTGTGTGTGT